CTCGCAAGTGGATGAAGCGCGACAGCTAGTGTAAAGTTTTTCGCGTGTCCACGGCGTCGTAAGTAACACTCGCCGAGATCGTATCGCTTTCAATCCTCGCTTTAAATTCTCAAGCGTCGTTAATCTTACACGAATGCTTACACGCTGTTGATAACCAAATCCATAGATTACATCCATACATTAGAACCAGTTTGGCGTCGTTCGCCGGTGAATCGGCCGGATAAATTGTACGCTCGAGTTTTTGATGTAAGGACTTACCGGGGGCCATTATCGAGGTGATTACGCGCGCCGAGTGCGCGTGCGCGCGCGCGCGCGCACGCGCACAAGCGCGAGCGAGCGAGCGCGTGTCTACGTGCGCACAAGGTTCGGCGAGCGACTTTCGTCCGGTCGCGCAACACATAACAAACCGGCGCTCGTCGTCGCCGTTACGCGCACATTCACACGCGACTCTCTTATTAAATCAGAAAATTCATTAAGACCGAGGTTTGGATTACGCTCGAAGGCTCGGTACTTAGCGAGAGGGCGGGACCCCCGTCGCCGTGGGCAGCGAGAGGAAGATCGTAAGGATTTAGAGCCGCTCGTAACGAGGCGACCCTCGTAACAAATTACAAATAGTGTCGTTGGCTCCTGACGAAGCGCCGGTATATAACTACGGTATCGGACGATGACTTCTTTCGAACTCGCGGCGAGCCAAGAAGATCGAGATATCGAGAGCTCATAACCGAAGAATAATCCGGTTGTGCGCACTGCGATCTATCTTCAGGGCGACCAATCATGCTAATAAAGCCGCCGGGCGTAAGTAATACGGGTCGATCGTAAATCTTCGCGATGCCGATGAATGCACGCGCCAGCATTGCGGTTGAAATGGCGGGAAAAAGCGATCGGGAAATCTCTCTTTCGTTGATGGTGCATTTTAGAAATAAATCTTTCTATTAGAGCGATGAGCGGAGAATGTTGACTAAAACGCTAATATAATGTGAGGCGCTCGATAATGTTCGATATCGCATACCATGCCTCTCTCTCTCTCTCTCTCTCTTTCTCTCTCTTTCTCTCTTTCTCTCTCTCCCAATATGTATATATATATGTATATATTTTTCGTGTTAATAGAAAATTATTTATCACCGCTTTTGAAAACTTCATATTAAAAATCTATAACTATTCAAACGCTTAAAGTATACGAACATGTATATGTATATGATAAGTTTATATATACATCCACTTTTCTCAGTCCTCGTCCACACCTCTTTCTTTTCCTTCCTCCCCATTTGTTACTCCATTTAATTCTCAGGCTTAAATTAAATTAAAAATTGCAACTGTTCTTCTCACATGTCATGCTGACAAGCGATATATTTATCTTTCGATACAGTTGTAATTATATAATTATACACATAAGAAACTATTTCGATGGTCAGGTCTACAGTATAAAAATGAAATGGAGAAACAAAAAGAATAAATATATATTGATAAAATAAATATGTGTTATTATTGTCACTGTGGGAAGTGTGCTATATTTTTGAGTGAATTCCCCCGACTGAATTGATAACACTGAAATAACGTCAAAGATAAAATTACACCTCTTGGAGAGGACTCACGATTATAATTTCATTAAGTTTAGGCGTGTATTTTCCCGCTGTTGTTATACCTGCGGAAGAAGCATAAGATTTCTCTTTCGCCTTGACTTCGCACGTTTCGCGATAATATCAATGTGTATTTTTCCATGGCTCGCGTCTCAAGATTCAAGTAGCACTTCAAGACTCAGTGTTTGCATCTGGCACTCGACTCGCGGGGGATTCGCAATTCGTCATGCCGCGATAATGCGCATTGTTGCACCTTGCGTACCTCCGCCAGGGGCACGTCGCGTGCTGTGCACACACAGGTGCGCGTAGTCGAGTCATCGGCGCAACAAGCCGCGCGCGCGCACGCCGAGAAACACGCAACTGAGACATTACGTAAGGTCGTTGCAACGAGGGGAAAAAGAGCAGCGGGGAAGGTGGCATGGAAAGGAGTAGCGAGAAGCAGATCGCGCCATGGGGATGCACAGGCAGCCGGGGAGGGGGGGGGAAGGGGGGAGAGGAAGGGCGGGAAGAAGTGGAAATAATGAGTTCGCACGGCGCGACCGGACCCGCTTCGACGCGTTACAAAACGAGTCTTAGCCGCAGGCAATGATTGCTGCCTTGCGCGGGCTAATAGCACCCGCGAACATAACGAAGGGTTATGTGGATCACGAGTTTGTTATTGGCTCGCTTAATGACCCGTCCTCGCTCGTTCTACCTGTCCGAAGCGCAGTTCGATGCGCGCCACGCCGAGCCGTCAACGACATAACTGGTCTCACCGTGTATGGGGTGTCGGCATAACCCGAATTTACGAACACGCAGGTGTCAGCGCGCGGGTGCATGGGAGAAAAGGGACGTACATGCGAAGAGAAACGGATTTGGGACGATGACATTGTGTGACTCTTGAACCGTCTCTCGACATCGTTAAAGAGACTAAACAAACCGTCTGCATGGCGCGATACACAATGTGCCTTCAGACAATTATGAAATATATCCTTTCTTTCCACATGTTAATTTCCAAAGTAATAATCAGTCGCGAGATTCATGACGAAATTAAGCGGGATCAAATTTTAATACAATTAATCGAGTAATTCATAAGCAGCTTGAATGAAAGAATTCGTTATAGAATTTTGACAAAGTTTCCAATTTCATGAAAACTGCGTGAATTACTATTACAAAACAGGTCGTATAAAATAAATATGAGTTACCTCTGTTGCTTGACGATTTCTCATACTTTCCCTCGTATCTGTTGTAAGTCAGATCGTGCATCAAGAAAACGGTATAAAAATTTAATGAAGGAACTGTGAAAAGACATGAGATGTACGCGGAATTGAAAAGAGTCAAGTGATGTGCGATTTTCTCTTCATTCGCTCATTTGTACGCTTCTCATGAGCAATCGTTGAAAAGCGGCATGATAAGACGGGGAGGATCTTAATGATAATTAGATCGTCGGATTTACGGGTATTTCGGCATTCATTCGTGCTTATAAATTTACATTTTGCAAAAAGTAACTGGATCACGTGCGGTCTGAGCTGGTTTCAAGCTAGCCTTGGAATCAAAGACACACAGAATGTTTGAGTGGCTCGGTTAGTGACTCTAATGAGACACTCGAGTCGGCGCTGTGTGTGTGATTTATTTCCGCAAGATTCAAAACGTCAGTAACATCGACGCGACGACTCGTCCGCCTTAATGCATCATAAGATCCGTCTGATATTTACGCTTCCCGAAGGGCGACAGAAATCGCGTAACGATTAATCAAGACTTCGCTTTTATGACAAGTAAACACTCGAAGCTTAATGTGTTTGTCACATTTTCTGATAAAAAGGAATGTTAAATGCATAAGTTCGCTATAAAACTGTATCTTGTCTTGTTTTCCGAGTAAACTGTAAACGTTGGCTTAGAAACTGAAATACAATTTTTCTCCGTTCTTACGACGGATGACAAACGAAATATATCTTAGGAGTGCCTACAAGTCAATCAAATATTTCCAAACGAAATGCATTTAAAGGTCAAAAAGCGCACTTAAAGATCTATAAACAAAAGTTTTATTTCTTAGTCAGTGAGGTAATAAATTGAATACTTCATCCAAATAACACCAGGAAAATACTGCTTATATTCTGTAGAAAATACTGTTGTCTTCAATATTTTCTATACTGAAACTACTGAAAATATTATGTCTTGTCTTGTTTTCCGAGTAAACTGTAAACGTTGGCTTGAGAAACTGAAATTCAATTTTTCTCCGTTCTCGACGGATAACAAACGAAATATACGTATCTTAGGAGCTAGTGCCTATAAGTAATCAATTGTTCCAAAACGAAATGCATTTAAAGGTCAAAGAGCACATTTAAAAATCTACAAACAAAGATTTTATTTCTTAGTTGGTGATACAATACAATAAATTGAATATTTCATCCAAATAACACACCAAAGAAATGCTATTTATATTAGTTTTCAATCAATAACGTAACAAGTTAAATATCTTATCCAAACAGCACGCCAAGAAAATACTGTTTATATAAATTAGATAGTTTTACTAGACTGCTGAAATATATAAACTGATAAAAAGAAGCTCATAAAAACTTGATTGAACCAGTGTGTTCTTTTTACATGCATAAATGTCTGAAAGTAACGCATTTGCCTGAAGCTCCTCTTACACGTTTCTTGCTGTCCCAAGTCGCATCACTGAGCACATCTAAATGTATTAAATCCCAAGTTAACACGTTTAAGCGTGTTAAATGACGCGAGAAAACAGCAAGAAGCGTGTAAAAAGAACCTTGGCCAAAACGACACATTTAAAGTTTAAAGTGTACTTATGTGGGTACACACACACACACACACACACACACACACACACACTCCTAATATCTACCAGATTCCGAATACTCGTCATGTGTATGTCTCACAGAAATTACATAAAAACCGGGAAACAGTTTAACGCAGAATCTCGCGAGTCATTTCGTCGCGTCGTAAAAACTTGTCGCCAGTTTGCCGGCGGCCATTTTACAGACTAAACGACGTGCTCCGCGATATCGTAAAGACATTCCCGCCAACAAACAGTACCGTGGAAATCCCAAACGCTGTCTCGTCGGCGTTCCAAGAGATCTCGCGCGCTATATCGGCGCGAGACCGACCTGGGTTCTCTAGCCAGAAATCGCAGAAATAGTCCGGGCGAGTTAGAAACTCCGCGTTTCGACTTCCTCGTAACGGCGGCGGCGGTAGCAGAGATGTAGTGCGAGCGCATTTCCACCCAATAAATTAATCACGAAACTTTCCCAATGTTGAAGTCCGGCCGCAAACTAATTTGTTGGCCGGCTCGGAAAGAGCGCGCGCGAGCATGCACCCCCCCCTCACCCCACGTGTGCACCCCCCTCCGTATCGCAGGCCGAGAGGATAATGGGCGCACGTGCGCGGAGCCGGCGCATAATCATTGCATTTATATTCACTCACCATCGATATTAGACGAGGATTGATCCACGCCTGCTGCATGTTATCGTCGAGGTACCGCTTCGCTATCCGGGCAATGTTCTCGTGCGGCTCTTTCCTCGGCGCAGCCACGGCGGTGGGCGGAACGACGACGTTGGCATTGTTCCTGAAACAGAAACGGATGAACACATGAGAGCGTCGATCTGACGCCGATTCGAAAGCGCGACTGTGATTATTACCGTGCTGCACGGTAATTGGAACGTTCGCCACGACGGGGGATTTTTTCGTCATCAAGTAGGCTCAGGTAGGCGGAGAGAACCCGATGATAGGACGAGGAACAGTACATGATCTTGACTGAAAGCACGGCATAGCTTCGAGAAGTCGTGACGGGTCGGAACGACGAGGTCCATTTCTTGTGTGTGTTGTACTTTAAATGTGTATGCGTACATATATGTGTCGCGTATATGTTATCTATAGGATATTTAACGTAACGAATTTTTTAGAGGCTTTCAACGGTTTAAGAAAAAGGTTGTTTAAGGTTACGCAAGGTTATATAATTATTAAAGGCGAGCATTCATTTGTTTCACGCAAACTACTACTTGCAATAAAAAAATTTGAAAAACATTTCATAGAAAATCAACATCGTCTTGAATTCTTTTCAATGGCACTATGTAATTCTTTTCATAAATAATATTGTAGAAGGGACGGATACAACGCACTATTAGAAATGTCACTTTTACATTACTTTTACATTAAATATCTAATTTGCAGCATCATTTTAAGCAGTAGTGCTTATAGGACTTATCCTACTAGAAATGTAAACGTAAAAGCCAAAAATTGTCTTTAAATTATTTCCGCATTATAAACACGTAATATTTATCGTCGTAGATGAGGAAACTTTAAGACGAATCCAACGCGCTATTAGATATTATCTATAACAATAACTAATTATAAGATATATAACTAATATAAGAAAAACTATAATTTATATAAGCACATGTTCAAGTTGCTTGTCTTCTTATGCAACGCAAAAAATACATATTGCATTCCAGTATATATAAATATTATTTGTTGCAAGCATTTCATAAGTTTATACCTCATCAAATCTATCACAAGTTCGTCACAAGCATCAAATGTATTCTAAATATTTTTTCATATTAAATATTAATCTCCTCGTAAGCCCATAAAAATGTAGTTTATATTTTTCTTATACAGAGAATATAAATTTTATAATATTCTTGAAAAAAGGTATAGATTCTTCTTTTGTGAGCATGACAATGAGCTTTCTTAATTTGTGCTACGAAAATACTTTAAAAGTATCGTTAAGGAAATATCCCTTAACAAAGATAACCGTTACTTGAAAGAAAAAAAAAAAATAAAGTAAATAATCGCTTTTCTTGGTAACGGAATATTTTTTGTTGCTTATAAAACGCAGAACAAACCACGTCCAAAGTACAAAAACTCGCTGTGCTATTTCGTTTCTGTGGCCCCTGACTGTCACGATTTATCGACGATTTTACGACGATAGTACTTTGCAAGATAGATGTCATTGTTGGAATCATAGTTGACGTCGAGTTTGCCGAGGCATTTCGGTGAACGACATCAGGTCACTTACGCGAGCATGAAATTCTCGGCATGTGTGGAGCGACTTCAAAGTCCAAGCACGTGTGTCTCTGCTATGGAGCAGAGGAACGTCCTCGTACGACTGAAACGCGCTCTTCGATTTGCCTAAAGTACGTCAGAACGTGCCTGAATTTCCTCCGTCGTCGTAACGCACACGGCATATATCTCCGTGCCATCGATACAGCGCGCTCGCGATGCGCGATAACGACCGTTAATCTCTCGCGCGCCAAACTCGACGCGCAGAGAGAGAGAGAGAGAGAGAGAGAGAGAGAGAGAGAGAGAGAGCTGGTACCAGGCGTACCTTTATTTGCCGATGCTTTATAAAAGTTCGAAAAGCATTTAAAATTGCATTATTCACCACAGCGAGTATCCGCGAAAATATCGAGTCATCTGTTAAATCGTGGGAAGGACTTTAAAGATGGATGCAAATTGCACATGTCAGAAGCGTGCCCGCATACACAATGTTGCCGTAAATCACATTACGTCGGGTCTACCGCGAGAGAGAAAAGGAAGGAAAAAGAAGTAAAGAGAAGAAGAAGAGAGAGATAGATAGATAGATAGAGAGAGAGAGAGAGAGAGAGAGAGAGAGAGAGAGAGAGAGAGAAGGGGGGGGAGGAGGATAGGGAACGAAAAGCGTGTAAAGTAAAACCTTCCGAACGCTTAATCGCAATTTGATCGTTAAACAACCGTCTTGCTTGTTTCTGCCTGACGGAGAGATCGCTCGGTAGCGAGATAAATTGAATGCAAATTGCGCTTAGACTCGATCGACAATAGTGAAATCTGGGTAATGACGGGCTGTGCACGGCGTTCTCGGCCGCGCAGCGTTAACTGCTATTATTTACTTGGATGAATTATTAACGTGAACGACGTTTGACGGAGAATAGCAATCTACACGCAGGACGGGCGAGGGGGTGTGCGGGGCATTGTGGGGCAGGAGGCCACGAAATTAACGGTCTCCTGCGCCACGGCGATGTATCAAACTGAATCTATTGTGCAAGCGCCACACCATTGCCACCGTCACCGGCCATCACCAGCCGCCAGATTGCACGTTGCACGACGTAGAAACGGCTGGGAATGAGGAGGAGGTCGATACGATACGTATCTCTGACCACGAGGGATCATTATAACGTGCAGCCGCGACCGCCGGTATCGACGTCTTGATTGGATTAGCGCAACAATATCCAGGGGGAGAGAGAGAGAGAGAGAGAGAGAGAGAGAGAGAGAGAACAAAAAAAAGGAGCAAATACAGAGGGAGAGGGAAAGAAAGAGAGAAAAAACGGAAAAGAAAGGAGCGAAGGAAAGAGAGAGAGAGAGAGAGAGAGGGCGAGTTTGAAAAAAATAAGGGCATACCGAGTATTAATTCTGCGGTGGCAGCTATTCGAGTAAAATTGCCGTTGTAACTGGAAACGGGTAAAATTATTCAAATCTACGGACACGCGAGGCTCATATTAACTGGCAAGTTAGTCGTAACACACAATATAACTAGGTTATTAGGATTTCCTGATCATATGCATTACTGAATAATATTATTGATATAATTATTTAAAGAGAGATAGGATCGAACGACGTGTTAAATTAATAATCGGTCTCCCTCGCTGTGATAATTTTATATTAATGTGTTTAGTAATGTGTGCGATTGTAAAATAGTAATAACGAATGAGTGGCACTGCGTGTTAAGACTATTTCTTATCTTTTATTTATTTCTTCATTCTTCTTTACTTAACGGTATAATAATTCTTTCGGCGCTATAAAAAATAATTCTGTCGATTATTGGTTACATTCGAAAGGATTTTTATTTATGCTGGTATGGTTGTGCAAAGAGACGGGCGACTTTTGGACGAAAAAATTGAGCAGCAGTATTAACATCTCTCGCGAACCGAGGATCAATATTAACTTCTCTCACACTCGGGAAGCTTCAGGATATCTAAACAAGACGTAAGATCCGTAGCCGATCCTTCACACATCGTCCGTACGACCCAGGAGAAAGTGGAGTCGTATGAAAATTTCCTTGTACTAATCTCTTACGATTACAAGACGCTATTATTCACATGCATTTTAATGACGCGAGGCGCGCTCTGGCGTAGCCAGACAGTGACTGAATTCCCCATCGTGCGTTCACAATTATCCCATTAATCCCCAGGTGGGTTACACCGCGCGCACAGGTGTACTTTTTTAACTTCCTCGCAGCGTCTTCAAGGCTCGCGCACGGTCCGTACGCGGCATTGCTTCGCGCAGAATTAATTATCCGTCTATCCCGCGGCATGTTGCACCGAAATTTACGTCCGCCGTTTATTTCTACCAGGGCCGGCCCGAGAAAGGGCGCAACGGGCCGTACGAACTGGGTCATGAGAACCAAACGATCACTCGTAAGCGGGGAAATCTTCATTGAAAATCGCCGTTTGTAAGATAAATCGACTTCGTAGGACTCTCGTCGACGTCTCGAAGCATGTACAATCCCGTCGAGACGAAAAGAAAGGCACACACGCGAGAGCGCGACCGATCGATATCCGTCGCACATTCTCCAAATGCTAATCAAAAATTACATGCGATTTCTTTTCCACGTCTACTAGGCTCATCAACCGTACATGTTACGTAAAATTCAATGTAACAAATTATACAGGGTGCTCATTTAAAAACTTTCCAGTTAATTATCTCGAAAACTATGAGAGGCTTATAAATTAAAAAGGATTAAAAAAGGCTAAAACACGTGTTCCATGATTTCGAATGGGAAAGAGAATGGTATTATCAGTTTTTTATTTGGAGGGCATTTTCGAGGGCATTTTCAGTTGAAGGTAAATTTAATTTTTTTAAATAGAAAGCCCAATTTTTTATTATCTTCTCTCTTTTTTTTTATTATTCTTCTTTTTCTACCAATTAATTTTAACAACTTTTGTCTGAAATATTTTTTTATTTGCCTAATATTTTTTGAAATATTTAAGGAAAACTTGGTAACTTTTTCAACATTTAACTTATGATATTTCGTTAACTATTCGTCGAAAGAAAAAATAGTATCAGACTTTTTTTACTTTAATTACTATCAAGAATATATTACTATAATAGCGCCCTAACTTTTGTTAATTTAATAATTTTGAAATTTTCAAAGGTCGATAAGTCAATAAAAGTTACTATTATAGTAATATATCCTTGATAGTAAATAAAGTAAAAAAGTCCAATACGAAATTTTTTCTTTCGACGAATAGTTAACGAGATATCGTAAGTTAAATGTTGAAAAAGTTATCAAGTTTCCCTTAAACGTTTAAAAAAATATTAGGCAGATGAAAAAATGTTTCAGACAAAAGCTGTTAAAATTAATTGGCAGAAAAAGAACATATAATAAAAAATTGGGCTTTCTATTTCAAAAAACTAAATTGACCTTCAGCTGACCTTGAAAATGCCCTCCAAATAAAAAACTGATAACGCCATTCTCTTTCCCCTTCAAAATCACGGAACACGTGTTTCAGCTTTTTCTAATACCTTCCATAGCTTTCGAGATAATTAGCTGGAAAGTTTTCGAATGAACATCCTGTATGCGGCGAATCTCGC